CCCCAAAACCCCAAAACCCCAAAACCCCAAAACCCCTCTAAATCCCTAAAATTGTAAAAGATACCATAATATTAATAATATGAATTCTGATTTAGCATCAAACGATTTCTTATTAAACAGAAAGCTCCTTATCAGCCAAAAGGCACAAAGCAAAATAAAAGAAAGATGATTAAGACCTCCTTGCAGAATGGATATGTCAAGACTGTTGTTCTCAATACTGATACTAAATTTGAGCTGGAAGGAGGCCTCAAAACCTCGATCTACTGAAGAGAGCCAGACAGCGAGAGCAGCGAAGGATGTTTACTTAATAAAATACCTACCCTAAGAGACACTTACAGTCTCAGGAAGATTGACCATTTCATTGGCTCTCCTGAGTCTGTATCCTCAGATTCACTCTAAAGAGGGATATCTGGCAGAGATCAATTTATAATTCAAGAATATAGCACAGTGGGTGAAGGTCTTATCAACCCAGCTCTACTTACTTATTTCATGACTAATAGTTTCTAAAGCAAACTTAGGTGTCAGTCTACAAAGGTTAACTGATCATCGAGAGGTCTTCTCATTAGGGAATTTTTGTTTTTAGGCATAAAAATTATATACTAACAGGCATGACTAAACATTAGCCTAGCATGGGAAGGAATAGATGCTCCGAAGTTATAAGAATCTAAGGAAGCGTCTAAAGAGCTATTGGTATTTTTATAACAACAAGCATGCTTTTGGTAACCGGAGCTTTATGAAGTTCTTCTTCAGAAAATTCTTCAAACCCCATGTTAACTTATGAAGCCATCATGGCGCAATTAAAACGAAGAAACAATCTTTGATTGCTTCAACTAACTAATGTGTATTGATTAGCTATTTTAGAAATCAGTGCATTCGAATTCTTCCTGAAGCTGGCAAGAATTTAAGTCGTATTTCATCTCGAAAATAAAGTAAATGATTAGCCATTGCTAAATTTTGATAAAATTTCCAAAATATCAGTTATTAAATTAATGAGGTGAAATTAAGATGATATCCAGTAAAGCCTAAACTCATAACTGTGTCAGACTCTTCCTAGAGTCCCATCACAGATATCTTCCTTAAGACTCAAGTCTTGAGTGATCAGATTCTTAAGTTTTTATTTCAAGATGAAATTACTCCCAGAAATTATCAGAATCCAAAGGCTAGGTACTAGCTTAAGGTAATAAATGAGCAAAATCTTTATAAGGAATTTTCTCCCAGTTTGTCCCACTTATTGTGGCATACTTTCATTGTCACAGCCTAATCTTCAGGGAAATCAGAGCTTTAAGAACTGTTTCACATGAATTACTGTTTTGAGAAAAACTGTAAATTTTCATAAGTTTACTTTAAGAAGATAGCTTCTAGGCCCAGCAGTAGGAGTTAATATTAATTTTTTGGACTAATAGGATTATATCTCAGCATTACTTTTATTGTTTGATGTTATACAATCACTTTTTAAAAATAATTGCCCAGAGTATGAATGGACTTTTCTTTGATTATTATAGAAATAATTTGTTTCAAATTTTGAAAGTGATAAAGGGGTTTTGGGGTTTTGGGGTTTTGGGG